CCCATTGACCTTGATCCCAAAGAGTAATTCTGAGAGGAAAACGCTATAGAAAGTGTCTCCTACCATTAACAGACACCAAAACATTGGGAAAGGATCACCCCCTTTACTTCCTCCCCTTTTTACTCCCCATCCCTCCTCCTTCCTCAAAGAGCCATTTGCTTCCTATGCCCTGAGAAGCTGTGGAACATTGAAGGGAAAACCCCTTCCCCTCAAGGCACTTCCTGCCAATGCTCTTGCTCCTTATTTTGAGAAAACTGAAGTCCCTCCAGCTAGAGATTCTGATTTGACTCACGTTCAAATTTGTTGCACGTTTCCCAAGGTGATTCTAAGTGTGAAAACCATGGTATAATAACTTGTATCTGCAACCTCTCCTTCTGTTGCCTTCCCCCACTCCAAAGCACATGCTCACATTTTCCAAACTCTAAAAGAAAAGGCTCTCGTTGATCCCTCATCTCCACAAACTACCTTGCCCTCTATATTCTTAGAAAATAACACCAAAGCTTATGTATTTTTTCTTTATTTAAATCCATTCAGTATTTAAATCAGACTTCAGTCTAATATCCTACAAAACTAAGGGGTTTTGTATATTTTTTTTAAGAGGCATATATTATTTATTTATTTGTTTGTTTGTTTGTTTATACAAGCACTGGGTACAGTCAGAAGCGCGGGAGGGTGAGAGAATTTACCAGAGCCAGAGCAGGGAGTAGAACAGGCAGAAGGACCGAAGTACACTGCTGAGGGGAGCAGCGGGCGGCAGGAGAGGTCTGCGCGCCATGTGGGACCCTCCTCCGGTGGCCGGGGAGCAGCCAGGGATCGAACCAGCGCCGCAGAGGCCACGGGCAGCTTCACAACCCAGCGCTCAACCTCTGCGCCACCGGGGAGGCCCAGTTTTGTATATTTTTTAAGCTTAAATAACTGAAAACCTATCATCTTTTTCTCAGCTGACAATGGAGATCATTTGAACTTTGAAACCGTCTCAAGCCTTAATTTTCACTTTGCTCAATGTTCTCTGCCCTACCTTTTTTCTCATCCTTTGTCCTAGTAGTTGTAGAAATTCCTTGAAGTTGCATGTACTTCCATTTCCCCTTAGCAATCACAGCTGTTTACAGCTTTTAATAACACCTTGATGGAGAATCTCCACCATCCTTATCTGCTGCCCATGCATCCTGCAAAGTCTAGACTGAGATTTCTACTGTCTATTGACAGGTCCCCTTGAATATCCCATCGGATCTTGATGTCTACATGTACCCAGATGACCTCAGCATTATCCTCCACCCATCTGTTTTTTCTCTCTCTTCTCTTATAGAACCACCATGTTCATCAGTCACCTACGTGGAAATGTTGACATTGTCTTGGCACCATTTTTGATTTATTCCTTTCCTTCCAATGAGAGCACATTCCCTATAATGAAACAAACATCTTCATTGAAAACAGTACACTAATTTAAATGAATAACTTAATCCATTTTGATGTGAGTGTGTGTGTGTATGTGTGTGTGTGTGTGTGTTTGTCTCCATAAAACACAAAATAGTGACCATAACCATAACACTTAATAGTTGCCCCAGACTGTCCTTCCTTAGTTCCTACTTCCCCCATCTCAGGCAACCACTACCAGCTTTTTTATTTTGTACTTTTTCAAAATATACTGATTTTTTTCCTGCAATTATTTGACATTTGTGTTTTTTGTGAAGTATGTGTTTAAATCTTTTGCTAAGATGTTGATTTGTTAAATTAATAACAATAACAAACTATTGATCCTTATTTAATAATAAACTCATTAAACTGTATTGTTATATAACCAATATATTTTATACATGTATATATTATATAGTATATGTGTGTATAATTATAATTTAATATTCTGTTTAAAATTATATATTTTAATTAATACTTTATTGTAAATATAAAATATATTATGAGCAAATTTTTGCATTTTGAGGGCTGTTAATATGTACCTTGGATAAAGTTCTTTGACAGATACAGGATCTGCGAATATTTGCTGTGACTTGTCTTTTCATTCTCCTCGGTGCCTTTTGAAAAAAGTTCATAATTTTGATTATTTTGTCTTTTATGGATTATGCTTTTGGTGTTTTATATATAAGAAATGTTTCCCTAACCCGAGGTTACAAAGATTCTCTTCTCTGTTTTCTTCCAGAAGTTGAATGATGAATGGTTTCACATTTATGTCTATGATCCATTTTCAATCAGTTCCTGCATGTGACTTGTGGATAGATCATAATTCTTTTTTTTTTCCTTTTGCAAATGGATAGCAAATTGTCCCTCACCATCTATTGGAAACTCTTCCTCCACTTTGTTAAAATTAACCTACTACATATGTGTGGGTCTATATCTTGGTTTCTGGTCTTTATTTTATAGAGATCAATTTGTCTACATTGATATCAATATTACACAGTCTTGATTACTATAATTATAAATCTTGAAATCAAGTAGTATAAATTTGTTCTTCATTTTGAAATCTGCATTGATTATTCTAGGTTCATTGCATTTCCAGGCAAAGTTTATTAATTTTTTCTGGGATTGCATTGAATCTATAGATCAGTTTGGAGAAAATTGATATATTAAAAATACCAAGTCTTCAGATCCACAGACGTAGTTTATCTTTCTCATCTTCTAGTTTGCTTAAATAAACCATACCAAAATTTTGTAGTTTTTAGTATATAGGTATTATTCATCTTCCTTAGATGAATATTTGGATAATATTTAGACCCCTAAATATTATCATTTTTCTTGTTGGATTCTATATAATTTTATATTTTGATAATTATCTCTGGGGGAGGAGTTTGGACCATGAGTAAGGGAACTGAAAATTGGCAATGGTTTCCTTCGTTTCGGTCTTGCTATAAAGTTCTCTTTGTCAGAACCAGAGCAGCAGTTAGTCTAGAATTAATTATTCCCCACTAATGATGTAAAATCTTTCTGAGTCTGCTACTTTGTGACTTTCTCTGTTTTTCCTGGTGTGAGCATACAGTCTTCCTGGCCTTAGGTGAGATCTTAAGGACTATTTCCTCTAATTATTTTGGAGAGTTCTTTCCCTGGCCCTCTGGCATTTTCCTTACGTGCAATTGTAGATTATTACTCAGCTGAATGTGCAAGGACTATACTCTCTCCACCTTAAGTGCTCCTTCCATGTAGCTTTTTCTTCTCCCATAATCTCCATGCTGACTCTAGAGATTCAGGGATTTGGCATTCCTGGATTCCTATATTTATCTCCTCAACTCAGGGAGATCACTGGGGTCCTCCCAAGTTCCTCTCCAAAGCCTGGAACTCCCTCCAAGCAATCAGAAGGGGCAATCATATGTCTATAACATTTGTGTCCCACCTTTCTGAGAACACTGCCCTTCACTGTCTGATGTCCACTATCTTGACAAAACCTGTTTCATTTATTTGTCTCATTTTTAATTTGTTTTCAAAGGAGAAATAACTCTAGTTCTCTTATTCCATCTTGACTCTAAATGGAAGTCCTCCATGACTCACCATATTATTCTGCCATTTTGCTTTCACCCTGTAATTTTCTATTCCACTACCCTTGTTGTAATATTGCAGAACAACAACGACACAGCTTTCATTTATGAAACACTCTTATGTGCAAAGGCTTGTGTGATACTCTTGATAAAATTTATATCTGATGACCTTGATGGCAAGTTGGGCTTATTTTTTTATGAATTATTTTAAACATTTAGATAGGTTGAAAGTCATACAAAAGTCCTCCATGCTTAGATTAGCAAAATTAACCTTTGTCAACTTTGCTCCAGGAAAAGCTGAAGTTTCCATTGTGTTCCATCCCCAGCTCTATTGCCTATTTTCTCTCCCTTGAGGAGTACATTACTCTGGGGTTGGTGTTTTCATGCTCAGGCATGTGTACATTCAAGGTAGCTTTATTACCTCACTTTCACTGATGAGGACTCAGGCTCACAGAGATTAAGTCACTTGCATGAGATCATTTAGCTTCTAACTGGTGAAACTCAATTCGGAGCCCAAATCCCTCTGGCTCAACATCATGTACTTCACTGCAAGAATACATTTGTCTTCCTGAAGCTCTATTCAGATCACACCATTTCCCAATTTGATTACTACCCATGAATTAACTGTATCTCTCATTTTGACTTTATAGTCCTAACAAAGCCTGTCAGCGAGTATCTTAACTGCTTCTTCTGCTTTATGTAACCCTTTTTAAATCATGCAAAATCTGTTTTTCCCCAGTATCACAATGAATATTTTTTTTGCTGCCATGTCATTTCCTGTATTTATACCTCTATCTGAAATGTTCTCCTTCCCCATTTTCATATGTCAAAAACAATACTGATCCCTCATAGTTGGGTTTTTTTTAAGATTTATTCATTTGTGCATACAAGAACTGGGGTACAGGCCAGAGAAGCAGGGGGTGAGAGGATTCACCAGAGACATAGTGGGGAGCAGAACAGGCAGACTGACTGAAATACACTGCTGAGGGGAGCAGCGGGCAAGACAGGAGAGGTCTGCCACACCATATGGGTAGCTCCCTGGCTGGCTGGGGATCGAACTTGTGCTGCAGTGGCTGCACGCGGATAGCTTCATAGTGGTGTGCTTAACACCTTGCACCACCAGAGAGGCCCAATCCCTTATAGTTTAATTGACAAAATCCTTCATTGATTCATTGATGATAGATATTGATGACTGCCAAGAGCAGGTGGCCACTGTCTGTTGGAGTTTTTGATCTTTCCCTCTGAATATCCCATCAGTACTCAGAAACCTAGAGCAAAACATCTTATATTTCTTCCCCCATCCTTTTGCCATATTTGATGTTCCTATGTGTGTGTATGTGTGTGTGTGTATGTGTATATCTCTTCCTATCTGGTAACTCTATCTCTGTATTACCAGGGATGTCTAGCACAGTGCCTCTGTAATGGGTATCCAGCAAATACATAGTAAATTGAATTATACACTAAAATCTGGATATCCTGGGAAGTATAGGAATTGAGTTGTATTTGTTTTTTATTTACCTTTATCCATTTAAAAAATACTGAGGACCAGGCTTTTCTCAGATCAGGACATACATAGAGCCCTTTCAAAACTTTCAATGCTCCTGCCCACATGGAGATTTGATATCCAGTGTTTCTCCAACAAACCTCTGAAACACAAAAGGAAATATCATCTCTGTCCTTCCACCCACAGAAAATGGCATTAACATCTTAAAGCAAGTTGGCAGAAAGACATTTGGATCCAAGCTAGTGATATTAGGCCAACTTTTCCCACTGATATGATCTGATGTTATCTTACCCCACAGATGTTTTGTTCTGTGTTGGCTTGAGTTATTGTATGTTGTTATTATTATTGCCATGTAATGTGTCACTGAAATGAAAGGGGTTGCAATCAATGGGTCTTTCATGATCACTGAGCTGCAAAGCAAGCCTGTTTGAGCTGGAATAATGGAAATGGTGGATTTCCCCAGCTAATTCCAGGCTAGTTTAGTCCCATTTTATAGTTCCCTCTGCCTTCAACTGAAACACGACAGTGACTTTGAGATTATTCATTACATAAGGCTGAAGATAAATCATGTATTAACACTACAAATCATGAAATAAAGGTATGCTTTATGATGCAAAAAGAACTTGGTGCTAGATAGAAATGCTTAGATTTACTTCTGTGCTTCTGACACTTAATTTCACTCAACTCAGTGAATTAACTAAAGATTGAGTATGGGGAAGAAATCTAAAACCCAAGTCAAAACTCCAAACTGCTTCACCTTATTCAACTCTGTGTGCATGGACACTGTTTATTTGGAGCCTTACTATTGTCCATTTTTTTTAAAGATTTATTTATACAAGAACTGGGGTGCAGGTCAGAGGTGTGGGAGGGGGAGAGAATTCACCAGAGAGAGTGGGGAGCAGAACAGGCAGACGGACCTAAGACACTGCTGAGGGGAGCAGCGGGCGAGGCAGGAGAGGTCTCCTACGCCATGTGGGTATCTCCCTGGCCAGCTGGGAATCAAACCCGCATTGCAGGGGCTGCTGACAGCTTCACAGCACAGCGCTCAACACGTTGTGCCACCGGGGAGGCCCTATTTTCCTTTTAATTGCTCATCCTCCTTGAAGCTGAACACATTAGACAAGTGCCGAGGTGTGTTGTGAAAAGTAATAAAACCCCTGCCATCATTAACCTCCCACCCTGTGCCCCATTCACTATGTGTAGCAACAGGGGAAACCCCCCAAGGAGTTCTTGTCCAAGACCTGGTAACCCTTCCTTGAAGCATATGCATTTTCAACACCAGGCTGTGGTGCATCAGGGGGTATCTTTCTGGTGCTGATGCAATTTAGGCCAGTGAGGACTGATTGAGAAATTACAGGGTGCAGGATTCAATGCTAGGTGCTGGATATAGTGATGCCTGGTTTTGCAGTTCTCACAACTGAACAGACCTATCACGAACTGTAAGATAGGGGCCTCCCTGGTGGCGCAAGTAGTTAAGCACCACGTTATGAAGCAATCCGCCGCCTCTGCAGCACAAGTTCGATCCCCAGCCAGCCAGAGAGCAACCCATGTGGCGTGGCAGACCTCTCCTGTCTCACCAGCTGCTCCCCTCAGCAGTGTATTTCAGTCAGTCTGCCTACTCTGTTCCCCACTCTGTCTCTGGTGGATCCTCTCACCCCCTGCATCTCTGGCCTGTACCCCAGCTCTTGTATGCATAAATAAATAAATATTTTTTAAAAAAAAAGAACTGTAATATAGTGTATTAGAAACTGTCATTGCATGTGACTCGCCCAAAAGGAAACACATCATTTAGTCACCCCATATTGTAATGGCATATCTGGTCTGTGTGCTCTGTCCATTAGATTATTTTATTTTATTTTTATCATTCCATTAGACTGTTTTGATTTAGAATTGGGTCTTTGCCAAGTTTGGTGAAATTCAACAGGGTTTTCTCCCCAGAACTGAATAAAAACAATGAAAAAGACTAAATAGCATGATATAACACACATCTTTAAACAAATTAGATATAATACATAAAAAGCTACTAATATATAAATATATACACATTGATTATATATGTATGTATACTGTTAGTTTAATAATTAAACCATTCTAATTTACAGAGATAACTGAAATTCAATTACAATGTGGGCAATCTTACTAATAGTGTCACCCAAAGGGACATCATGGGGGAACAGTTTTTCTCAGTTTATGTCCAGATTCTCTATCTGTCTGCTCAATTCTTTTGGTTTCCAAAATTGTTCCCATGCTAGGCCATTTGCTTACTTTTTCATTCAAAGATTCACATACTATTGCAAAGAATTATCATTCTCTTTACCAACATTGTTTTCAAGATTGAGGTTTTAAGTCTTCACTATTTCACTATTATCATCCCTAATATGCCCTTGGCACGGGCTTGTGTTGTGCTGGAACACAGGGTGTTTACTGTTGCCTAATGCCGGCTCTGCACTACCACTGCCATATAAATGTCATGTTTATATCAAAATGTAGTAATGTGAGGGGTTCTACAGAATAACCTCAATCTCAGGAAGGGAAAGAACAACTTTCAGAATAAGTGCTTTCTGGAATACTGTTCAGCAATCAAAAAAGATAAACTAGAGCCATTTGCAGCAACATGGATGGAGCTAGAAGGGATTATGCTCAGTGAAATAAACCAGAAGGAAAAACAAAAATATCGGATGGTTTCACTTATAGGAGGAATATAGGGAAACCAAATAAGACATCAGGGGAAAAAATAACAACAAAACAAAAACAGACAATTATAAACCAGAAACATCCTGCAGGCAAGGGGGAGGGTGGAGCACAAGGGACTGTGGTGATGGTGCATGCTTGAATTGGTGGAGGAATTTCTATGGGGACTACACCTGAGGGGAAAAAAAACAAACATTGTTTAAAAATGAACAATGATGTAAAAAACATATAAATTAATTAAAATTTAAAAAAATGTCTCCATATAAATTAATGGCAAGTGTTTCTTCAGTTTGCCTTTTGGCTTCACAAAAGTCTTCATAGACACACTGTCTTTTCAGATAGTGGGGAAACCTGTCATTATTTTGTGCCACTGAATTTTGGTGTGTTTTGTTATGCAGTGACAACTAACTGATATAGTTGGTAAGTGAAAAAATGTGCTCTTCCCGCGCCCCCCTCCCCTGCAGGATGTTTCTGGTTTACAATTGTCTGTTTTGTTTTGCCCACTCACTTTGGCCAGACTAAAGCTGAGAGCCTGGCAGGGTACTCAGCTTATTCAAATGCTGGCCTGAGCAGCAACTGCAGCAGCTATGGAGGGTCTATTTGCTTTGACATGATCCCTCATGGATTTTCAGTCAGCATTTAAAAATCACGCACTTCTGATAATTAATGACCCTGTGCTTTTGGTTTACAGACCACTAGGAATAGTAATTCTACTGTCAGTAGTGGATTTTTCGAAAACTGAATTACTCTTGAATCAAGAAATTGTGGCTGTTTTGAATCTCAATTTCCTGTTCCACCCTAAACTTTAAATTCATTTTGTTGTAGAGTAGGGAGATGGTTAATTTTATTTTCTGGGGATACAGAATATCTGACCAGATACCAAACTTTAAATTCTTGAAGACAAATATTAAGCAGACCTTTGGCCTTTTTCTGAGTAAACAATGTAAACTCATTTACCTTTCTTCAGAGGTTCAATTTGCCAATTTTCTGAATCCTTTTCTACTTCGTTATATCTCTTCTATATTGTAAAGACCAAAATTGGACATGGCCTCTACATGTGAACTGGTGCTAAGTGTAATCCCTTTATTCTTGGGTTTTGGAGAAAGTGTCAGGATAACACGGTAAGGATGAATTAGCTTCCATTACAGTACAGAGTGTGTGTTTCCTGTCTTGCCCTCTGCTTCCCTCAGCAGTGTATTTCAGTAGATCTATCTCCCCACTCTGTCTCTGGTGAAGTATCTCACCCCCCACACCTCTGCCCTATACCCCAGTTCTTCTATGCATAAATAAATCTTTAAAAAAAAGTTATGGGGGTCTGTTCAGCCCCTGGATTTTTCTAATCTGCCCTGGGACTCCCCATTTTGTAAGACTAGTATTGATTTTGGATACCTCAAATGTTTAATCAGTTTGGCCCCTGTCACAATCACGCAGATTGTTAATTGTAATTTTTTTGATAATTCCTTCTGCTGACACTATGATCTATATAAATGTAAAATTTGTGATTTCAAAATTTAATGAGTCATTTTAGATATTTAGTATGAGCACATCATTTTTGTAATACTAATCAAAGACAATATACTTAGGTGGTCACTAAATGTAAATATTTTACTAAGATATTTAAATACTATCATAAGTTAGAGACTGTCCAAAGGAAATTGCAAAATGACATAATTCATTTTTTTTGTTTTTTTTTTTTTTTTGGTTTGGCTTGTCTATCATTCATTTATTGTAAAGGAGACATGGACATTCTTTATATAATGAAAGATTTCAGAACTTCTGTGGAATAGGCAGTTACACATGATACCATTTCAATTGCAATGTTTTTTAGTCTTCATACTTTCCAAGAATGTCACCATATCTGCTCTAGAAACAATCCTTGTCTTCTAGAATTGCTTTGCTGCCATATTTTGGGAGAAAAACTTCATCTCCAACTTTCACACTAAATTGAATCTCTCGATCCTTCCTTTAGAGCCTGATCCAATAGTTACTCCTTAGCTTGCAATACTTTTCCTTGACATTTTCTGGAAACTTAATGCCTCCTTTGGTTATACATTTACTTCTACTCCTTACAACTAATATTTGATCAAAGAGGGAGGAAACTTTCTGAACATCTGTCTTTCCATGACACCACGTCAACAAATTCCAGTCTGTTCTCTACATTGGAAAGGAGAGCAAATTGCCATGATATCCCATTTTTGTCAAAAAGTAGGCCCAAGGAGCAAGGCCAGGAAAATCAATAACAACAACTACCATTTACTGAGTACCAACAATGCTCTGGCCACTGTACGGTCCCCATATCTCATGTTAGGCTCCCCCAGCAAAGGGCTCATAGATAAGGAATTCATGAGTTATTAAGTTCTGATCCCTGGACAAATCAGAAAGGGAGTAGAGAAAACGGGAGAGAGAAGGCAAAAAAGTCAAGCAAATGTGAAACTTCAGGCAAAGCCTCAC